AACTTTCCTACTTCACGGTTTTTCACTTATCGCCGAGCTTCCAGGTACGGATCCCCCGTGATAAACGAGGGACTACTTTATAGCTAAAGGTTTGTATTTTGCTTAATATTGCTCAATTTGAGAAGAACGTTTTTCATCCATTTTGCTGTTAAACCTAAACATCATATAAAAAGGATTACCAACAAATTTGCACAAGGTCTGCATTGACCTCATAAGCCTTCTGGCCAAAGGGGCCAAACAAAATCATTCCAGGGGCTGCAAATGGCCCTCGGGCTGCACTTTGGACACCCGTAATCTAAGGTTTACCCTTCGATAACAGTTCAAGAGGACAACATGGCAGCTTCTGTATTATGAGAAAAAATGACTTGTTTTTAAAACTGACTTTTTATTGACAGGCCTGAGGAAAGTTCAACACAGGAAGAAGATTTTGATCCTACAGCCGTTATTTTACCTCCTCCTGACCAATATGCTGACTTCATGGTGCAGTGATCACTGCACATATAGGTGAGGATGAGTCACTTCAACTCTTTATCACATTTATAAAATCATTCCCAAACTGCTCACTCTCTGTTTCTCTGTAACAGCCATAATCCTCCACGGTGAGCAGGATCTTTTTGAGGTTTCATTCTTCCCCCTGTGACAGTCACACCATGCTTGGCTTTGAACACTTTTACCTGATGACTGCATTCATGGATCCATATATTGATTTATGCTGATCATCAAAGCAGCTGGAGTTCTTCCTTCTTTTCCTCGGAGCAATCGGTGTGAGGCACTGATAAGACTTTTGGTACTGACTGAACCAAGTTGCTTTTCTCTGGAGAGGATTTACAAATACAAACATTGCTGAACTACACCACGAGAGCTCAGCTCGTGAGGAAACAATCAAGCTACAGTGTGTGATGAAAACTCAAGAGTCTGACCGACAGTCTGGTTGAGCATGAGGCACTATCCTGATGAAACAGATAAGCACGTTATAAAAGAGGACAAGCCCAGCAATCACCAGACTTCTTTGGATCAAACAGGACTTTAGGGTTCAGAACTGGATCACAGCTCAAATACAGCAACTCAAAATGTAGGATGGCTTCAATCCAAGACGCCTTCAGACCAAACTAATGAACCAGATATTTTTAATAAACTTTCAAATGACCTTTATTTTTTTATCTGTGACAACTGTACCACCGTTTGTTTACACACATATACATATACATATACATATATATATATATACACACATATACATATATATATATATATATATATATATATACACACATATATATATATATATATATATATATATATATATATA